ATTTGAGTTGTTGTGTGGCAATGTTACTGAGCTGGTTACCTCACATTTTAAAAATTGTAAGTTGCTAATATAATTTTTTTCCTTTTTAGTTTTATCAATTATTTGTGAAATTAGCGATGCTATATCCAAAGGATACAGTCAGACTGACTCTTGCTAAGTAAATTCTTTGCGTGTTGTTTACCTGCTTCTGTGATGTTATTGTCATAGAGTAATAACGTGTAACGTGCGTAGCTGACAGTTTTCGTTCCTGATGGCTTCAGCCAAGTGCTGTGCTCCTTCCTCTGTGATGTGATTGTCCCAGAGGTCTATCAAGCGTAGCTGACAGTTGTTGTCTCTGATGGCGTCAGCTAAATACTTTGCTCCTTCATCTGTCAATTGATTTCCTCCGAGGTTTAACCAGCTCAGTGTAGAATTCCTACATTTTAACAATTTACAAATCTCTAAACAGCCCAAAGGGCCAATGTTATTGCCACTCAATTCTAAATGTGAAATGTTTTTACCTTGATTCTCAATTACAGTAACTAATGAAGGACAATCAACAGCTGTGAGTTGACACTTAATAAAATTTACAAAATTAAAGTTAATTTCTTGAAGTTTTCTTTGAACTGTTGCCTTCATCTCATTATTTTCACCACAACATTTAAATAATGTCACTGCTAAATGTTTTTCATCTTTAGTCGGCCAGCAGGTGACTTTCCTTGGCTCCATATTCTCTGTCCTCTCTTCGTTGTAGTATTCGTCTTCTTTCTCTTCAGTTTCCTCAGGAAGAAGGTCTGTGATAATTTCGCTCGGTAGTTTTTCTTTATCGTTCATTAGTCCTGCTAGAAACTGGAAAACCAATTCCCATTTTCTGTCGTTGATGTTCTCAGAAACAAAGTCCCTCAATTCTTTTTCACTCATATTCGTCAGGTGCCTGGCAGCGAAAAACTCTTGCATTGTTAAATGAATAAAACAGAATTGTTTTTCGTTTTTTGACTCAGTTGGACGGTCGAGTAAACGGTGAAAGAGGGTGCTGTTCTCCATTCCGTGTGCTTCGTTTTCTCCAAAGATCAGCCTTCCATCTTTAATTCCTTCAAATGCAATTTTTTCGAGTTTCTCAGATTTCTTTTCGACTTCACGGGTTAGATCGTCCGATTCTAAGCGTTCGCGAGCGAAACACTTGCCGCGGTATTCTTCGTCGTGTCTCAAGTAAAAAATTTTCACCGCTTTCTTGTAAATATCTGTTAGTTTCGTTGGTAGGCTAAGACTTTTAGAACCTTTAAAGCTCGGCCAATGGAATAGAGTTGAGCAAATGATGAAACAACTCGCAGGAATGTAGCATAGAGAGAGAATGTTCATGTTGCCGTTGATGTGTCGCCATAGCTTTTCCCCCGCATCCTTATCCTCTTCAGCGAATTTGGTTACGTACTCTTTGACTTGTTTGGATGAGAAGCCGAGGATCTCGAAGACCTTGTCAAAAGGTAGACTTTCGATACATGACAACGCCGTAGGTCTTGTTGTTGTCAAAACAGCAGCTCCTTTGAGAAGTTTTCCCGTCGCAAGCTTCTCGTAGAGTGCGTGAACGGGCATCTTTTCGTCGACGAGGTCTCTGAATCGAGGATCGTAGTTTTCATCGCCGATCTTTGAGTTATGTTTAAATTCATCGACTCCATCGAAAACAAAGAGAACACTTTGGGGGTTCTCAAGGATGTATTTCCAGACTTCTTCATGCATGTGAACTGAGGTGGAATGTTCTGACAGAGTGAGCAGTTCCCTGAGTGTAAGGTCGTTTCCCTCGTTAAAAGTTCTGAATTTGATAAAGAAAGCAGCATCAAAATGGATTTTAGCATCAGGTGTTTTACAGAATACTTCGTTAGACGCCCAGTCTCTCAGAATTTTGGAACAGCAAAGGGTCTTTCCGATTCCGGGACAACCAATAATCAAAACTTTTTTGTTTTCGTGGGTAAGGATGTCCTCTGCCCCTCTAGGTGTTGTAGTTTTCTCAGCCGATCTGGCGTAGACTTTCAATTTCTCCTGTCTGTCTCCAGTGAAGTCATACGTAGCTCTGTCTGGAACAACGACAAGGTTGGTGTATATCTGATCGAGAGTCAAATGTTTCGCTGGTTGTCCTTCGCCGGGAATACCTG